CCTGCTCTGCAAGCTCCCTGCCCTGCCCAACACGCACCCAAAGAGCCATCAGGGCAGAGCCAAACCTCACTGCACCAACCCTTCTCTCTGCCGAGTCACCCCGCGGCGGAAAGGAGGATTCATCAGCCCGGAACAGCAGCAGAGCTTCTAGTGTGCCAACCTCTGCCCAGGGCTTGTACCTGCCCCACAGAGGTGTTCAGGTTCTGCAATCAGAGTAATTACCCAGAGAAATGTTGCTAAATAGCAAAATAAGGGCAGGTTTCAGGCCTAGTCTCTCTTCAGGAAACCCTCCTGACCTCGCTGGTACCTTTAGAGACTCTCCCCTTTGATGCTATTAAAAGAGCCTCTGAAATAGGGTTTTGTTTAACCATTAGTGAAGAGGAAAATAATTAAAAGAATAATAATAAAAAACTATCTGGGATTGTACTGGTTTCACCTGGCAACACTGAAGTAAATTCCAAGCTTCTGGCATGAAGCTGCTCTACTTTCAGGGCTGTTTGCTTAATTCTGCTCAAAGCTCACTGCCAGCAGAGCTGGCAAAAGCCCCAGCACAACCAGGTGAGGAAACTGGTTTTCATGGCAATTCCCTGGTGCCCCAGGAAGGTGGGAAAAAGCACAAGGCACTACAAGATGCTCGACCACGGTGTTTGTTCTTGGTCACACAGCTATACAGGCCACCAGCCCAGTCACCTCCATCTAAAGGGAATGGTTCTAAATTCTTTTGGGAAGATAAATGGTGGGTGGGAGGTTGAATTTTCTACCAACAGTGGGAGGTGACAGATGATTTTTAAAGACAAAACCACCAGAGGCTTCATGTGGCATCAAGATGAAGGCGAGATCATAGCTTGAGCCTCCCGTTGAGGGCCAACACACCTGCAGTTTCCTTCCTCTTTTAGAGGACCGAGAGGAAAATCTCATCCCAATGCTCAGGAAGCCAGGGGAAAATGTCCATCAGCTGCCTCCTGTCCAGAGACAGAGGAACAGCTGGGAACAGGCAGCTGGGAAACGGAAATCCCGGCGCGGAGCAGCCGGTGGCAAACAAAGAAAGTCAAATTAAGGGGAAAGGGTTGGCCTGCCCCACACCAGGAGAGGTTCTAATCTGCTACAGGTGAGTCTTGAAAACACACTTTTCAAACTCAAATAGTTAACCACGGCTTCCTGGGACCTCTTGGAAGCGACAGACTGGAAAGAAGATTCCTTAAATATCCCTTATTAAACAGTGCAGCATGTGGGGCAGACAGGGTGCAGAAGGGAAGGAAGGGCATCTCAACTCATTTCACTTCGTGATTGCCACCAGAAGCACAGCCTTGAGTCCCTCAGCAGGGGCAGTAGGGTCATGAGGCACAGCAGGGTGACAAGGTGGGGCACAAAGGTGTGACAAGCCACACGGTAGCCAGGAGGAAGGCTCAGTTCTGCTCTCACCTTCCTCCTCCCTGGCAGAGGGGAGATGGCTCTGACAAAAGCCACATTTCTACATTCCAGGTGGCTTTGCTGGTCAGTCCTGGGGCTAAAGTCCCAGTTCCTACATTGGACTGTGAGATCCGGTCATTGCACAGTGTCAGCTCAACCTGAAAAACACCCTGAGGAATGTCACTGTCACCAGCACAGCTGGATGGCTCTGCACACCCTCACACGTGCCACCTTCCTCCCACTGCAGCCTCTGACGCCAGAACCTGCAAGTTCCCCCACCAGAAAAACAAACAAGCTCCTTCCTTTACTCAACACATGCAAACTCTTTCCAAGGAATCCTTCAAATCCTCCCCAGACGAGCCCCTGACAGTCAGTTTCACTCCTTCCTACTCCTGTGCAGGCTACTTCTTGCAAATCAATCAGTATTTTTGCCTCTCATCCCTCTGCAAGTACCAGTCCTGGCTGAGGAGCCCAATTATAACCCCTGCTGGAACGAACCACTGTGTACTCTGCAAACCAAGAGGTTCCTTCCACACGTAGAAATCCTGGCAGAATAATCTGAACCAATCAACCCCACCACAAACACACGGATCCCTCTCAGCCCATCCAAACCCTCAGTCTTGCACAATCCTCTGAATTCCTGTTGCTGCTGAGGGGATTCCAGCTGCCTCCAGTCAGGAAGAAAAAGTCTTTGTGTTTCAAGTGGATGCAAGTGAGCCTCAAAAGGCAGCTCACACACACCTCCTGATGTGGTAGTGTTGGAAAATAACTCAGAAATGTAGAATGATGTGATTGTTTTGTGTCAGGTGTACTTTCTATATATATATATATACAATCTAAAATTGCAGTCAGGCACACAGTTGGTACCACAGCCCTGAGCAAGGACACCCTGGAATAACCAGGCATTGAAGAAGGCTTTTTTGAATCAAGAGCTTTTAAGGGTGTCTCATGTAAATCACCAACTTGGCAGAGAATACTTCAGGTCTTTAGGGATAATCAGACTTAAGGAATGCAGGTGATAAAGAAGAACCAAACTGATTGCTGAACAAGTATTGGGCAATTGGAGCAACAGAACTTGGGGTACTGTGTCCTTTGGTGAACTTAGCTCATTATAATGTCATTATAATAATAAAAATCACACCCCCAGGTCAGGAAGACCCCTGCCCAGGTGAAGACCCTTCCCTTGAGTGTGCCTGATAGTATGAATACTGATGTAACCATATTATAACACTGTGTAAGTCACTAACCAATCACTAGAAGGAGGATGGACTCAAAAGCTTCCTAACTTCATAGTTTTGTGTATAAACATGTCATGGGAAATCTCCTTTGAGGGGCTGGATTTGTGGGAAGGCACTGGGAACCCAGCTTTGTGCAAACCTGCAATCAATTACCATGGCTCCTTCCTAGAACTGCAGCCTCTGGGTGTTTAATACCACTGTGGTTGGAATTGGAGGTATGGAGGTGTTGGAACACAGAGAGCATCACCAGTTCCAATGGGAAGCTCTAAATAACTTGCAAAACCCACCCAGGACATGAGCAGTCTCACCCAGCTCATGAGAGTGATGCACAAATTGACAAGCCTGGCATGGAAACACCTCAGTGGGGCTTATTCTTAATTTAAAAAAAAGTCCCTGCCACTGCTGTGGATGGATTTGTGGGCCTGATGTCATTCCCTTCCCAGGGCTGTGTCACATTGTCAGCGAGCTGTGTGGGTAAGGAGATAAAATTAGGAGCTGACTTACAGGGCAAGTGCCAGAAGAGCTACAAGAAGCCAAAGGCACGAGCTCAGAGGAGGCAGTGAGAGCTGGAGGCCGAGGACATCTCGCTGCTCGTACCCAGGAGCTGGGCAGGTCACATCCTACAAAAACCAGTTATTAATCTTCTTGGGAGGCTCTCCTAGCTTTGATTTCCCAGACATATTCATATAACAAAAAACTAAGCTTCATTTATACCCCCCTCCCCTTCAAAACACGTCCCCAAAGATTAGCAAAGAATCTCAACAAACTATTTTTAGTGCTATTATGTCTAGATACTAAAAAGGACCCAAACAAACAGCCTGAAGAAGACACTGTGCTTTGACATTTAAGCTGCATTTGTAGATGAGGATGTAATGGAAACTGAACTCCAGCTCCATCCCAGCCATCCTTCCCACCCTTTAACCCTGAAGAAAACAGCAGCACATAAAAGGATGGATAAAATCCCTTCTGGAGAGCAATCAGACACAGGCACTAAGACACAAACTTGCTGCTTCCATCCCACACTCCCAAGGTCCTAAATAACCAACAGTTGGAGAGAGGTGCTCCCCCCAACACCCTAGAAAGGTGCCCTTCAGGAGGAGTGTCCCTATAGATCACCATTTCCAGGCACATTCCCAAGCAAACCCAGTTGTTTTGCAAAGCAAGAGACCCAAAGTTGGAGCTGTTGTCTGAAGAACTGGGAATAACTGCAGCACGATGGACACGTGTGAAGAACGATCCCTCCCCTCACTGCCAGCACAGACTCTGGCAACTGACTAAGTAAGAGCAGCACCCAGCTCTGCTGCTCCAGGGAAAGGGATAACAAGACAACTAATGGCTCTTTTTTATTTTAAGTTCAGTGAGTAACCCCAACTGAAGGTTGGAAGGAAGGCAGAGACTTGGGCTCCCTACAGATCCCCACGGCTATGGGCGTATTTCCCCCTCTGCCTCCAAGATGAGGTGGCTCTGCAGCAATGGGGGGCAGAACAGTCACCAGCAGGGGAAGCTGTGCTGGATATTTGATAACCTTTCAAATATGCAGCTCTAGAAAACCATTAACCACGTTTGTTGATGTATTTACTGGAGATTACTCCTCAACACAACCTTCTGCCCTTGCTCGCTCCAAGAATGTGAGAGATCAAACCCAGAAAGAGGGAATGAAGGCTGGAGCTGCATCCTCCCACACCAACACCAAAAAAGAAGCCTTGTCTGCTTATTAAAAGCCCCATCAGACACCCTGGCATTTTCTAAAGGGCAGGAGATAAACTTCAAGGCCTGGCTGATGTTCTACAGGAAAAAAAAAAAAGAGGTTTAACCTCTGAGGTTCCCCAAGCAGTTCCTGG